GCTTTCCTGCCTTTTCATCGCTTTAGTTCACACACACGGTTCATAGATGACTCCCCGCAAGTTCCTTTTATGGTGGATATATTTTCTATTTGGGGGAGGGTACCTGAGATTGAACTTAGGGGCACTCAATCACTGAGCCCCATCCCCAGCCCTATTTTGCATTTTATTTAGAGACAGAGTCTCACTGAGTTGTTTAGCGCCTCACCATTGCTGAGGCTGGCTTTGAACTTGAGATCCTCCTGCCTCAGCCTCCTGAGCTGCTGGGATTACAGGTGTGCGCCACGGTGCCCAGTGCTATATTTTTCTATTTTAAAAGAAGCTCCCTCTACGTGAACTTGACCAGTGGTTTACATAAATATGTAGTCTATTTAAGTAAACAGGACTACAAATAGTAACAAGTTGTTCAAATCCTCTGAATTAATCACTCTTGAAGCGGTGGTCATTTTCATTTCTGTTGTCTTTCCCAGGCAGGTTTGCTTTTTTACCTAGTTGGAAGTACAGTGTGCATATGATTTTTATAGTTTGCTTTAAAAAATTCTTACACTCCATAATAATTGTGAACTGTAAACAAAGAAAACAATCAACAGACCTGGGTCAGTGATTCCAGTGGAAGTTTTACCAGCCTTTGGGAGAAGGAAATATCAGAACTCTAAATAGAAAATAGTGAGAGCCTGGTGCAAAGGTGTGCACCTGTAATCCCAGTGGCTTGGGAGGCTGAAGCAGTAGATCGCAAGTTCAAAGCCAGCCTCAGAAACTTAGCGAGACCCTAAACAACTCAGTGAGACCCTGTCTCTATATGAAATATAAAAAAGAGCTGGGGATGTGGCTCAGTGGTTAAGCATCCCTGGGTTCAATCCCTGGTAACAAAATAAATAAATAAGGAGGAAAAATAGAGACACCAGCAGGATGATTAATTAACTATTACATATAATTAGTCTTATTACTGAAATCATTGCGAATTAAAGAAAGGGATGTCATTTTCCTGATTATAATAGCAGAGTTTTTTTTAATTTTTTTTCCTCCCTAATGATCCTATTACTTGTTGAGCAGGTTGTATATAAATTGGCATAAATGTTATAAGAAGCTGTTTGGCAGTACCTATCAGAGGCTATATATTTGTTTACTAATTGTGTTTTTCCCTTGTGAATATCTTATGTCCTTTTTATATCTTGATCAGTTTTCTTTATTCAATTACTTCAAGCATTTTCAACAATAAAAGGAACTCGTATACCCTATTTACAGATCCTTTTTCACCATCTGTTGCTCACTTTTTTGTTTGAAGTGGTCTCACTCTGTTGTCATGGCTGGCCTCAAACTCTTGGGCTCCAGAGATCCCCCTGCCTTGGCCTCTAGAGTAGCTAGGACTCTAGGTATGCACCTCTGCACCTGGCTTACCTTACGTTTTTAGGTGTCCGAGGGTTTTATTTATTTATTTTTAATGCAGTTTGTTTCTTAGTTCCTTTGCAGTTCTTTTATGGCTCCTGAGTTTGGAAAGTCATTGTCACATATTTGAGTCTATGTACTTCTGATTATTTAAAAATATATATTTTTTAGTTATCATTGGACCTTTGTATTATTTATTGATATGTGGTGCTAAGGATCGAACCCAGTGCCTCACACATGCTAGGCAAGTGCTTTACACTGAGCCACAACCCCAGCCCACTTCTGATTATTTTTGGTTGGATTTTTTAAAATACTTCACAGTGTAACTCTACGTCGGATTTCTTTCTTTCTTTCTTTTCTTTAATACTTTTTAGTTGTCAATGGACCTTTATTTAATTTATTTATTTATATGTGGTGCTGAGAATCGAACCCAGGGCCTCACACACACTAGGCGAGCGCTCTACCACTGAGCTCTACCTAGGATTTCTTTTGGTTGTTAGACTGAGTTTCTCTCTCTTTTTTTTTTTGTTCTCCAAAAACTGTTAAGTGTTTTTTTCTGACATAGTTTAATGAATCCTTACCTTCCCCAAGTTATTTGTGAGACTTCTTTTAACATTTTTTCCTTTATATTTTGAGACAGGGTCTTGTTAAGTTGCTTAGAGCCTCACTGAGTTGCTGAGGCTGGCTTTGAACTTGCAATCCTCCTGCCTCAGCACCTGAGCTGCTGGGATTACAGGTGTGTGCCGTGTCTGGTGTACAAATGCATTTTTAAAAGTATCTTTGTGGCTTTTTCTCTTTTTCTTCATATTGGTTGGTTGTATTTCCCACGATGATCGTCTCTCTGTACTTTCTGCTGTTGTTGTCTGAAATTGGATCTTTTAAGACTTTATTGCCAACATATAGGAGTATTATTGTCTTTCCTGTTTATTTTGATTGGCAGCTTTACTGGGCTCTCTTTAATTCAGGTAGTTTTTCAAGTGACGGCTTGGCACTTCTGATACGGTCCTGTGGTCACTTCATTGGCACATCATGACCATCTTGTCTGCTCTAGCAGCTGTGCCTTCCGCTCATGGGCCAGAACGTTTGAGGCCGTGTTCAGGGATACTGGTGATGGACGGCCTCCTTATTTTTATAGGGAAGCTTCTGCCTTCCCTTGCTGTTGCTTCTGGTGTGTGTGATGACACCCGCTGCTCCCACCCAAAAGCACATTAAAAACTCCTTTCTGGCCCTTTGTACGCCTGACACCAAGCGCAAGCGGGTTTATTGTTTGAGGGTGTCCCTCTCTAGAATCCCCAGCCTGCCCCAAACTCTGGGCCTGTGGCGCTGGTCTGCTGCCAGCCCAGCTCTGATCCCTCTTCTGAAGTGTGACCTTTAGAGACGTGCCCTTCCCTGGGATGACGTGGTGCTCTTTTCTGCCCGCCCCACTTCCCGACATAAGAGCCGGTGACTGGCGCTGGACAGCTGTGGGCTGAGGTGCCCTGGACCCGAGGAGGCTTCTCAATGTGTTGTCCAGAAGGGGAGGCGGGGATCCTCGGCCATTTGAACTGTCGCCCTTTCCCAGCTGTGCCAGCTGTCCTCTTTCCTTCTCACACTGTGTCACCAAGGTCACTAGTGCCCCTGCTCTGCTCCAACCTGCAGGGCTTCTGGCACCTCGCACTGGCGTCCTCCCAGACCAGGGGGAAAGCAGACGCAAGATCAAGTATAGGGGCTGGGGATGTGGCTCAAGCAGTAGCGCGCTCACCTGGCATGTGGGGGGCACTGGGTTTGATCCTCAGCACCACATAAAAAAATAAAATGAAGATGTTGTGTCCACCAAAACTAATAAATAAATAAATAAATATATTTTTTTAAAGATCAAGTTTAGTGCCGTGCAAGGTGAGGAGGTCTCATTTGCCTTGAGGCTCAGGGGCTAGAGCAGGCGTGCTGAGGGGGCAGAGAAGGCTCCCGGAGGAGCTGACCTTGAACAGGGACTTGGAGCCAGAGGAGAAGTTCTTGGGGCAGGAGGGTGAGGGCTTCAACTGGGATTTCCACATACTTATTTATTGTGGCTGTTAGAAGTAGGACCTTTAAAATTGTATTTCATTGCTAGCAATGAGAATATTACTGAATTTTGCATATTTGCTTTGGAATAATCTGCAAAGGCCCAGAGGCCTGGGAGAGTCTGGCATCTTTGGGGGGAAAGTCAAGAATTGCCGAGTTAGAGGGACAGTGCCGTCAGTGGGTGAGGGGTCTGGGGCCCAGGGCTAGGGAGCAACATGGGTGGCCCTGGAGGGCTTCTGAAAGAGGTGGGGTGAGAGCTGACCTGGAAGCATAGAGAGGATTTGGATAGAGGGGGAGGGCTGGGAGGAGAGGGACGACATGGCAATGTACCTGCTAGGCACTTTATCATTTGATTACATTTACTCTTCCCAGTAGCCTTGCCAGGCAGATGATGATATCCCCATTTTACAGATGAGGAAACCGAGGCTCAGGGAATTGAAGTGACTAGTAGGAACTGGACAGCCTAATTTGTGAGCCTCTATGCTTTTGGGGTCCCCCTACTGCTATATATATGTATGCATATATATGTGTACATGTATATATTTATTGGCATTATTGAGATGTAATTCATGTACTATATAATTCCTGCCTTTAAAGGGTACCAATTTTTAAAAATATTTTTAGTTGTAGATGGACACAGTAACTTTATTTTTTATGTGGTCCTGAGGATCGAACCCAGCGCCTCACACATGCTAGGCAAGTGCTCACCACTGAGCCCCAGCCCCAGCCCCCTAACCTACTTTCTGTCCACAGATTTGCCTGCTCTGGACATCCCGTGTGAATGGAAGCATATAGCATATGGGCTTTGTGATGGACTTCTGGGGCGTGGTGTGTTTCCCGTGGTCTGGTCACATTACAGCATGCCTTGGTGCTTCATGTCTTTTCGTTGCTGAATACTATTCCTTAACGAGGCTCCATCCTGTTTTGTTGGTCTGTTCTGCAGTTGATGGTCCTTGGGTCGTTTTTACTTCCAGGCTCCTGTGCATGGTGCTGGTGTGAGCATCTGCGTGTAGTGCGGCGTGGCAATGTGTCCTCGTTTCTCTTGATATGTAGGAGCGTGTTTAACACCAGTGAGCTGCCGGGCTGTCCTGGGGGGCAGCTTCCCTCTTGCGACTTATCCGAGGCTTGCATGCAGCGGGATGGGACTGGAAGGTCAGGCCACGGAGCCTATGTGCATTTCATGTTGTCAAGCAGCTGACGTGAAGTCGCCTTAAGACGCTGCTGAGTCTGATGATTCCAAAAGGACTCGGTCCTTCAGAGTTTGAAGGACGCGGCTATGAATGCCGATTGTCATTGTGCCAGCAGGTCCGGCCTTCAGTGTGTTGCAGCTAGTAGGCTGTGTGGTAGAGAAGGTGCGCGGCTAAATCCTGAGGTCAGTCTGCGAAGGAGGGACAGGTGTGAGTTAATGCTGATGAGGGGACTCCTGGAGAGGGAGGGCGGGGTCTGGAGCCTGACCCTGGGGAGACAGGCGGGAGGTGCGGAGGCTGGGCAGGAAGATGGGCTTGGGTCCGTGTGGGTCTGGGGCACGTTCCTGGGCAGCCAGGTGGGTAACTGTCGTCTTTCTCCTCTGGCTGCAGACCTGGCCGAGTGCAAGCTGGTTTCCTTCCCCGTCGGCATCTACAAGGTCCTGCGGAATGTCTCCGACCAGATCCACCTCATCACCCTGGCTAACAACGAGCTCAAGTCCCTCACCAGCAAGTTCATGACCACGTTCAGTCAGCTCCGAGGTAGGCCGCAGTCAGCCCAGCAGGAGGGCGTGGCCAGCCATCTTCCTTTAGACTGACCCTGTGTGAGTGGTGTCATTAGAGCCAGTCCGCAGTCATGAATCACCCACGAAGTCCTTTCCGAGGAAGGCTTTCGGAGGGGCCTGCGTCCTCCCTGCAGCCTGGAAATCTCCAGGGCGGCTTCTGTGTCTTGCTGGCCAGGTCTCCTGTTCTGAGCAGACCAACGGGACACTTGCTCTGAGGCACAGGAAGCGTTAATCCTCCGTAGGCTCAAACGAGCTCCTTGCTCTCCTGAGCTGCTTCCTGGGTTCAGGAGTGACGAGGGCCAGGCGAGCTGGCACATGTCTCTGAGCATTTTCTCTGAACACGCAGAACAGTTGGCCAGGCACCTAGGCGGGAGATTAGCAGGACGGGCATTGTGATTTCTTTTGAAAAGGCTCCTCTGGATGGAGGAGCAGTGAGCACCAGTCCCATCTCTAGACGACAGTCCCTCCCTCCTCTGTCACCTGTGGAGTGGAGCCGCAGCCTGGGTGCTTGCGTGTTGTGAACTGATGGGTGGGAGAAATGCCAGAGGTGGTCCTGGAGTTCCTATCTGAGGGGTACGGAGAGGGTCTGAGACCTGTTGAGAGAAATGAGTAACAAAACTGCTGGTGCTGCCTCAACCGCTTGAGCAAGCAGGTCTCAGCCAGCTGAGCTGGCCCAGCTTCCTGAGGAGGCGTGGGCACGGGGCAGAGCCCAGAAGGGAGAGGGAGGCACGGATCAGCAGACGTGGCTCAGCAAGGGGAGGGGCTTCTGCAAGGTCTCCAGCAGGAGCCAGGCAGGACCTGGAGAGGCCACTGCCCAGGTGCACACAGAGGGGCCAGGAGGAGGGCCTTGTCTGGGTCCTCACTTCTGAGGGACGCTCACAGAGCTCAGTGACTGGGGAGGGGCGGGGCCCCTGGCAAGGCTTGCTGCCCAGGGATGCCCACTGGTGCTGTCGCCTGGCCTGGCCTCCCTCCTTTCTTTTCCTGTAGCTGATGCTTTACATAGAAGATGGGGCTGCAGAGCCAGCCAGCTCCCCAAACCGGTAGTTCACGTTCCTGGTGGCATTAGAATCACATGAGGAGCCTTTCTGTTAATACTGTCATCTTTTTTCCTCTTTTTTTGTACTGAGGATTGAACCCAGGTTTGCTTTATCACTGAGCCACATCCTCAGCCCTTTTTATTTTATATTTTGAGACAGGGTCTTGCTTACTTGCTAAGGCTAGCCTCAAGCTTTTGGTACTCCTGCCTCAGCCTCCTGAGCCACTGGGATTACAGATGTGAGCCACCAAACCTGGCACACTGTTTTCTTGATCAGATGAATCAGAATATCTGTGTGGGCCTGGGCCTAGGCATTCATTAGTACCTGCACCGGCCATTCTAAAGTGCTGTCAGTCACAGTTAAGGGTTATAAACACAAATACCTAAGAGGTTAGCATTTACTGAGTGACTTGGATTGGGCATGTGGCAATAGGGAATGGTGGGGACTATGGCAAACTAGTCCATGCTCTATTCAGCATCAGCCAGGGGCGTCATGAGAGGAAAGGGGCTGGCATTGCCCATACTTCTGCTTATTTAATGAAGCAGGAAATGAGGATTTTATGTGAATTTTCCTAAGTTTTGCATAAAATAAAATCCAATAAAACATATTTGCAAGTTAGATTTATCCCACAGGCCACCAGTTGAAAGATTTCCTGTACTATATCAGCGTGGCCTCTCTCGTTGCACTTCATGGATGGAGAAAGGAGTCAGGGAGGAAGGACCTGTCCAGGGCCTCGGAGCAGTTGCTCACCTTGTTGGCCAGGGCTGCCTTTCAGGGCCACCTGGGTCAGCTCGAGTGTCCTCTAGTGCTGTATCTGCCAAGGCAGGGTTGGACCTTTGCTCTCCAGAGGAGAACAGAGAGTTGAAAATGAACGGTGGGGGTGCTTGGGGCCCAGGAAGAGCACAGCCAGGCAGGAGCTTCCTTTGGGCTGGACGAGAGGGCCTCCGTGCTTTCTTCCATTACCCGTCCCTCGAGCACCTGCCACCTTCCACACCTGGGTCTACAGCAGGGAAACAAAGGCCAGTACGCCAGGGTGTCACCCCGAAGGAGCCCAGGTTGGCAGGACAGACTCTGAGGCCTGGGATGCCGGTGGGGACAGAGTGCGGGAGGCCACTGCAGGAAGAGGATCAATCCCTAAGAGTGGTGTGGCTGGGCGGGTGTGGGGCAAGAGCTCTCCAGGGACTCGATGCTGAGGTGGTGGCTCCTGGGATCAGTCAGTGGGGCCAGGCCAGCAGCCTGGTCAGCAGGGCCTTGGGAACGCCTCTCAGAACCCGCTGTGGAGACGTGTCTCCTGACCCCCTTGCCTCCAGTCTGTTGGAGGGTACTGGGCTCCTTCCTCCTGATGCCCCCACATCACCGGGATATGAAGGGCGGCCGGAGCAGCTGCCGATTGGATTCCACACGGTGGGTGGCGGGACGTCCTGGCCAGGGCGGGGATGGAGCCGAGGGCCTTACTTGCTCTCAGCGAGATGGCTCTGGCCTGAGTCTTCGTTGTGGTTTCTCTTTGATCAGAAAAACCCTCTTCTTTTATGTGTAAAGAGGAGGCCCTGGGAGGCCACGCCAGCCCCACAGGAGAGAACCATCTGCCTGCTCCCAGGGCTTCACTGGGGACTCTCCTCTGTGAGGTTCATGTCCCCCCACCAGGATTGGGTCATTGTTAAGTGATTCCTTCCCCTTGATGGACCCACCGTAGGGAAGGAAGAAGCAAGACCAAGGAGGCCCCGGGCCCAGACAGGTTGGCTGGAATGGCAGGTGGGCCCTGTGCAGAGTGGCCCCGGGGTGCAGCTGTGGCTCTGCTGTCTCTTCCTGTCTCCCCACTTCCTTGCTGGTCACTCAGCTCTTTAAAGTGAGTGGTCCTGGGCCTGCCAGGCCATGAGGATACGAGACAACAGCTGTGGAGGTGAACCGAGACCCCCGCGTGGGAAACGCAGAGGCCTCTTGTTCTGCACTGGGCTTGGCCCCTCTCACCTGCACTTGGCAGAGACTCGAAGGCGGGCAGAGGAGAGGGAAGGCTGCGGGTCTGAGTGGTGGCTGCTGGTGTGGGGGAGGGCAGCGGCTCCCCAGAAGTGGGCCATCCTGAATGTCTGTTGGGGGGCCCGTTGGTTCTCTGGTTGGTGCGTGGTTGGAAGTGGAGACAGAAATCAGGGAGCTGTCAGTCATTAGTGGAGCCAGGCTGATCCTCACAGGGTCCTCAGTGGCTTGCTGCCTTGGATTCCTTCAGTCTGACTCCTCAGGCCGTTGTCCTTCCTGGGAGGACAGGATACCCAGGCCCTCCCAGCCCCACACTTGGTGTTAGATCCTTGTAACGCCCACACCCTTTGGAGATGATAAAACAGCTCAGAGCTGCCCGCGGTCCCAGAGGGGCCTCTCTTGGCAGGGAGGCAGGTGTGAGGGGCGGAGCTAAGGCCACAGTGGGCGCGGAGGAGGGGAAGTGGGCTCTGTTTGGGGCGAGTGGGGAGCCAGAAAGCCTCCCTCGGGGTTGACAGATGGGTAGGTGTTTGCCGAATAAATAAGGGGGAGTTTTCAAAGCATGTGTTTGGGAAACAGCTGGAAAAAATGGTACCAGACTGAATGTTGCAGACCAGCAGGATACAGGGTTGTCAGGGCCTGGCCCTGGGAGCTGTCCACCTGGGGAACATTCAGGAAGGGTCCTGGAGGGACGGTTTGGGTAGCCAAGAAGCTGAGAGAGACATGAGGACAGGAGGAGCCTTGGGCAGCAAGGCACGAGGTCATGAAGGCTGGGGAGATGGCTGGCCTCAGAGGCCTAGCCCCAGGCTTTATCCTCCTCCAGATCCTGAGGCCCCTCTGCCCTTCACAGCGGGAGGAGCTGCTGTGGGCACTGCTAGGGCTCTGGCTGGTCCAGGTGGGCACGAAGCCCCGGCTGTTCTGGGCCGTGGGGCTGGGCGCCCCTGTGGAGACCAGCCCACCCCAGGGTCCCGGAGCTGGAGGAAACCCGGCCCAGCAGAGGCCCAGCGGTCAGAGCTGGCCACAGAGGGTGGGGGCCGCAGTCACTCTGACCTCTGGCCAGGTGGAGCTGAGATGTTCTCCTGGGCTTGTGGCACCTTCTCTGTGATTCTGTGGCAGTGACGGGCTTCTGGTCCCTTTTCAATGTTTCCTTCGGTGTGTGGCAGGAGATGCCAGCCAGCCATCATTGTCCGGGTGGGACGCGCAGGATCCTCCCCAGGCTCTGGGCCTGCAGCAGGCGGGCACCCTGCCAGGCCTGTCTACAGAGGGCCCCTGCTGCTCCCCAGGCAGCCCGCCCGCCTCGCCACAGGGCTCTTCCCACAGCGGCTCCTTTGAATGTTGCCAGAGAAAACTGCAATTTTCCTCTTTGCCTCAGCCAGCAGGGCAGGTGGGAGGGCTTCTCTTCCCCTCTGGCGAGCTGCCTGGATCCGAGGGCTGCAGGTCATTTCTGCTCCAGCCTCGCTCCATGGCCGGTGTCCCGGGTGGGTGTGGGCAGAGGGCATGGAGGGGCTAGTGTGACGCAGCTGGGGTCACTGAGGCAAGGGTGAGTGGGACAGGCGGGTCCCTCTCTTCCTTGTGTTGTTCTGTCCAAGCTGCCACTGTCCACACGGGTCAGGAATCTTAGGAGGTGTTAGGGGGCCGAGAGGGACAGTAGACTGTGGGGAAGTACTTACCAGGTGCCTGGAAGGGCATCTTTCCTGGTGTTCTGGGAGGGGAGGATAAGGAGCAGGTGTCCCCTGTACAAGATAAGTCTCCAGAGCCGGGGAGCGAGGAGTCCTCTTGGGAAAGGCCACAGGGCCATCTCCTCCATCAGTTTTTACCATCCCTTCTCAAGGGGGCCTGGCCCCTGGGGTTACTTAGATGACCTCAGCAGAGGCCCAGCCGTGGCCCCTGCATGCTTCCAGGCCCGGGGTCAGCCCTCCCGGCAGAGTTAGAGGGACCCAAGTCCACGGGCCTCCCCACCTTTAGGATGGAA